AGCTGAGTAAAGAGGCTCACCTCTTTACTCAAATTTTGTATCCTTTGTCAGTTTAATTATAAATAACATGGAAAGAGAAGTAATTTTTTGCTATTGTTCTTCCTGTGGATAGGAAAGTTATAATTTGTTCACAGAATCACATTTACATCTGGGGAAACTGGAGATAACATCCTTCCCCCCTTAGCTGCCTGACTTCGGATATTACAGAACAGTTCAGTTAACATTATTTCTGTTTATAGAGCTCATGGTGCTGCTGCCCACGCTGCACTGTTAGCTGGAAGGAAGCAGCCTTAGCTGCTGATGTTCAGGAGGACGCATAACCTTTCTTTCTCAAGGTTTTCCTTTCAAATAAAGTAGACTACCAACTAGTTATTGATTTGAATTATTACTTTTAAGAATCCCACTTAGTTTCTCTGATTTTGCATGTATTTTTTAAGTGAAAAATAACACTGCATTCAGATTTTTTGTTATTTTTCTCATTACATTTGGCTGGTGTTCTGATGTCAAAACACAATGTAGGTAAATGGGAGTATATTCCTGGATTATATAGCTGTAACTTCAAATGTTCAAATGCCTCTGTATGATATCACACATCTCACAGGTAGTGATTGGGAGTGGGTACCTAGTCGGTGTACTACTGACAAATTTTTGGCTCTGTCTGTAGCCCAAAGTTCCAGTTTTTATTTTTTTTCTGTTCTGATCTGATTCTTAGACTTGTCCAGGCTGTGAGGTTCTGCCCATAGTTTAAACTCCAACTGGGGCATCCTGCAGGGGAGCATTCAAGACTATGCTGGTGCTCGGGCAGGTGGCAGGGAAGGAACAGACACTAAGAGCAAACTTAACGAAGCAGTAGGTAGGAATGGACGTATCACAGTATGTAGCAACAGCAAACTGTTGGTGTAGGCATATTCAAAATGGATGGAAGATGTTAAACCATTAATTTGGATCTTTTCAACATCAGTGTTATTCTGGGAAAATTTCTTTTGGTTTCTGTGATTCATAGAAAGAATTCAGCATTTCAAGGTTTTAGTGTGACTTAAAACTTTTTATGTATTTATATATTTTTTAATTGTCCTAGGTGCTGACAATTACTTGAAGAAATCTCTTTTTCTATCTGTAGGGTCTTTGTTCATCCAGGTTCTTACATACATACCTAACTGTAAATACAGAAGCAATATTTCCAATCAAAGAAACAGCATCAGTGGCTCATTTTAGACACATGGTTAAAGTTTTGTGAAACTGATTATGCTGAAAATGTATATATGAAAGTCATAATGTAGATAATTTATGTAATCTTTAACAAAAGCATTTTCTCCTCCAAGAAGTACACCTAGATATCCTGAAAGTATTATTAAACAGAATAGAACATATTAAAATCCTTTTTTGGTAATTGCAAAGTTAAACCACGTATAAAGTAGTGCATTGTGATTTCCTTGAAAAAATATTAAATTTTAATATTACTCCATTATTTTAAATCCTTCTTTAAACAATAGTGGGAGAGTGAAGGAAGAAAATGCTGTATAGTGAAAAGATAAAATAAATAAATAGAGAATGAAAATGTGCTGTATCTCTATAAAACCATATACTCCATCCAAAATCAACTTAATTCAGGCTGTTCAATATAAAATGAATTGATTAAAAACCTGAAAGATAGTCTTTCAAATGAACAGCTGCTGGTGAGATAATTTGCTTTCTTGTTGCTAATATGTTCATGAATATTATTAGGAAAATCTGCCTCATGTCTTGCATAAGAAGAACAGAGGAGATAGAATATTGCATGCATGATGCAAGGAGTACAGTAATACAAAACATCTGGGTGGAGAGGACAACAGTTCAAACTGATGTTCAGTCTACTAAAAAGGCAACCTTCTCTTTGTTTTTTTCTTTTCTCACAGAAAGAAAAATAAAAAGAACACTGATAGATTTGTCCATGAAAAAACTCAAAACAAACTCAAAAAAGTCTGTGAACCTGAAAAATGTGAATGGAAAGCCTTATATATCACATTTATGATGAGACAGTTTTGGAGGCTCAAAAGTTTATTTGAACCAGAACTGCTCTTTGTATGTTGGCAACTGCATGTCTTGGAAAAGAGAAAGTTTGGCTGTTTGTTGATTAATTATTAAAATTATATATACATTTCTTATAGCAGTATATAAATTCACATTTGCTAAATCAAATACACTTAGTATTTGGTCAAATTTACTGCCAGTGTACTGATTTTATCACTGATAAACAGATAATTACAGGAAACAAAAAGTTACTGCATTTTGGGCATGGATCTGTGATCTTTTGTCACTTGCAAATACTTCCAGGAGATCAGGAAGTCACTTAAATTTCCCAGTCACAGGAGAATTAAGTTACCTTTCACGTCACTGTCTATAAAACCAACTTTTGTACCCTCATTTTTATCTAGCTTTATAAAAGAGTATTAGATACCAATATTCTTTCCAAGAGTGTTCTTAATTGTCTCTTAAAGGAAAGTAATTGGGCACTGAATTGATGATATTTGCTGCAAATTCAGACTTCATTAAGGAAATGCATCCTGTGTTTGAAAGGGATAATGGGAACTATGTTTTGTGCTTCCCTCTTTGCTGTACAGAGGAGACGTGTGACAGATCTGTGGTTCTTTGGTGTCAGCAATTAGCTGTTGTCATTCAGCAGAGCTGTTCTAATTTACTTTTCACTCCCTGCTTATGAAGAGAAACTCCATGCCTTAGACCACCCTGCATACTCAGTGATGAAAAACACTGTAAGGCATAGTACTTTTTAAGTTGTTGATTTTGGAAGCAACATCTCATATTCAAAGATCATAGGTAATGAAACAAATAAGGAATATCCTCTTCAGGTCATAGGACCCTGGAACTCAGAAGTCACTGGTATTGAGGCTGTGCTTTGCTTAGCGAGCTTTCAAGAATTTTGTTCCTTCTTGTTCAAGTGCTCAACTTTGGCCCACAAAAAAAATGTGTATAAGTGGCTAAATCTTCTCTATAAAGCCACACACACGTACACAAAAGATCAGATATGTGGTAGAAACTGAATCTATTCCTTTTTCTGCTAGCAAAGAACATCATTTTAAACATAGCAGCATCCTGTATTTTTACCCTCACAATTTCTTTCACTTTCACTTCTTCAAGAAAGCTGAAATATCAGTTCTTTTTCCTCATTCCACTGCTCTGTAAATCCACCTACATATTCTAAACAGCCAGTATCTGGCAAGCAGCTTCTGTCTCCTTCAACGTAGATCAAATAGCTCTTTTGCAAAGGTGACATTCTCAAAGTTTTGTGTGTGAAACTAAACAAATATTTGCATGACCTTCACTTGCACAGGCAGAATCCACGTGTTCAGTATCAAAGGCTCATCCATTTAGGCATAGTTGTGTGCAAGTAACTGATCTGTGCATACATACTGGGTTTGCTTGAGAATAAACTGTCACTATACAAATATATATGATTACAGTTGAGCCTTCCTAAATATTTTTACCTTGTTTACATTCTGTTATTTCTGCATACTCTTAACTCTTTTAATTTTTCCAGTGTTACTGAAGTCCCAGGTCATTATCTGGAACATCTTCATCTCTGTGCCAGGCAGTAATAATCCAGTTTCAGGACGCACTTTTCTCCCAATAAGTAACTGGTATTCATTCCTTACAATGGCTAGGGTTTCCTGGTCTCTTTTACTATTTTACAGTAGTAAAAAGAATATTCTTTTTTCAGGCTTGAGCCACAAAACATTACATCTGATTTGATATTTGTGTGTTGGAGGAATAGATTTCTTTGCTCAAATAGATGTTTAGCAGTATTTTCTTTTGAAAGATGCCAAATGTCTAATAGTGTCTGCCTGTGGTAAGTTGCTAGTTCTCATATATGCAATCTATTTAATGCATTCTCCTTGTGCACTGATTTATGACTTTCACATCCTCCACCTCTCTATTCCTGCTGCTCTTCTGAAGATTGCCGACCTAGAAGAGCTGGCAGAAGGAGGGACATATCTACCTAGGACTTTTCCTGAGTAAATGTTGCTTTCTGAGCACAAATTCACCTTTTTCAAGAGTTTAAATTCCAGTACCAAACTTTGGAGTGGAATAATGCATTTCCTGCTCTGGTGGGGTAGCAGTTTTTGGCAGGATTGGACAGAGAAATGGCACCATGATCTTTTAAATCATCACAGTTTGGTGAAAGACATAAAGTTATTTGTGCTTACTTAGCTATCCAGCATAGCTACCCCTTACTGCTCACATTTAGGAGGTTCAACACTCTGCTTTTCACGTTCAGTACTCTCATAGAAGCACTTCTGTCTGTGAAGGAAGTTCAGTTATATCTTTGAAGTGTTTTCCAGAGATCAATATCATCATAGCAGTAAGTTTATGGTCTTATGATTTATTATTCTCACCTTTCCCCGTAATCAGAATTTCCCTCAGTGTAATTTAAAGCAGTGCAGCAGTTCTTGCATTTTAATACAGTATTTTGTGATAGCATGTTTGTTCCTGTTGCTCAAGCATGCTCTCCTGTGAGGATTCCTTTTTGCAATCAGTAATTATGTGCTGAAAATAAACTGAAATGCTGTTTCAGTCTCCTTATGCATTTGAGTTGTATGCTAAAGTAAGCTTTGAAGAAAACCCACAGATTTGCAGTACCACTCATTTATGCTATTGTGGAATAAACTTTTATATGTCCTGATCAGTACTTAGCTGTCAAATGGATACTTGTATAGTATTAGGACACTCAGGGATAATTATATGAATAACAGCTACAAAGAATACTGCTCCTGTTCTCATTTCATCTGACATTAAGTTGCATGCAACTTAAATAATAGGATATTTGTGTCACTCAAAGCTCAGTTGTATGTTCTACAGTTGTCTAAAGCTTTTTGCCTCTATACTTATTTCTCAGTGTAACATGTAATTTCTTCCAGGAACATGTGAACTAATTGAAAATATTTGTAATCTTACTGAATTTAACTTAACTTTTCTTTATTCTCTCTTTTTTTGTTGTTTTAAAGGTAAAAAAATTGTATCAGAGCCTACAACTGTTAAGCTGGTTACAACTCTGAAAACTGACAGTGTGAAACTATCATCTGCTAAAGTTACTCTTAAACCTTCTGTTTTTGAGAGTTCAGTTACTGAAGTGGCTGTCACCAAAACAAAGGTCCCTGCTTGGGAGGAAGAAACTCTAGAGACTGAAGATACAAAAATGACTACTGAAGTGGCTGAGGAGAAAAGGGAAATGGAGGTGCTCATGGAGAACATTAAGTTAACGACCCTTTTACCTCAGACTGTCACAGATGGTGAAATAAGCCCTTATGATACGCTGGGAAGGACTGAATATGATGTTTCACCTAGGTTAACAGAGAGCACATCTGCAGCTTTGGAAGTGGAGCACACTTACTCTGAAGCAGAATTGTCCGAGGAACAAGGTAGGTCTGAAAGCACTGAGGACGCTTTCTTGACCTCTGTAGTTTTTCAGGATAGCACAGCTGTAGCTAAGAGTTCCACTGGTTCATGGGAAGATATTGAAACAGGCGATACACAAAAATACGATGCTGATAACCAGACTGAACAAATAGAAGTGGGTCCTGTGATGACAGCTACAGATAGCTTGGTACCAGCTTCTCAGAGAGAGTTACCCAGGACAGGGACTTCAGTTTCACTAACAAAAGAAAATCTGTATCTTGGTTCTCACTCAACAAAAGAACCCACAAAAAAATCAATGGAAGCAAAATCTGACAAGAAACTTACAACTGTTGTAATCCCTAAGGCTTTATTCACTGATCAGTATGATCTTACTACAGAGGGGGAGGGAAGAGAGAGCATGTACACCGTTACGCCTGATAGAATTTCTGGCGTGGCTCTGGTTAGCATCCCAGAATCAGATGTGCCTGCTGTATCAGAGACACTCATAGATGAGCTTGTGGTAACCACTGGACAATCTTCTACAGCAGATGAGTCAACTCCATTCATTAAATTTAGTTCATCTGCAACTGTGTTAGATAATGAGGCGTCTGCTGAGGTAAGCAGACAGAACTTAAAAGATGTGCATCACACTTCATCATCTGGAATACCTGTATCCTTTTCTGTATTCACTGCCAATGAAACAGGATCTGCTCTTGCAGAAGGTACCATTGCCCCACAAAGGTTTGAAGAAGGCATCACATCTGTTCTTCACTCATCTCAGCAAACAGAAGGATCGGCTATTTTAGAAAAGCAGGAAAAAACAAAGGAGCCAGAAGTGAGAATAATAGATGATGAAGTCCTTTATATCACAACTGTTGTTCCTGCTTCTGTTACGGCAGGATCTGAGGGACGTTTTGTAAGTGAGAAGTTCACACACACTCCTCCAGTTTCTGGCATGTGGCTACAGACAGATAAGGATCAGGGATATATAACAGAAGAAATATCTCATACTAAGAGAATTGAGTTAGACACTGAAGATGGTATCTCTGGAATGGAGCCTACATCATCTCCAGGACAAATTATAGAATACACAAAGCATCTGAGAGCTTCAGTTTCAGCAGTAACAGATGAAACTAACACAAGCATGGAGACAGCAGAAACAAAAAGTGATGAAGAAGCTGTATCAGCTGATTTTGATCTGAGTGAAGGTACTACAGATGTCTTCCGTACAAGTAGCTCTTTAGATTTGGAAAAGTTTACTGTATCCAAAATATCAGTGGATGAAAGTACTGCAACAATTAAATCATTTAGCTCCTCTAGTGGTACTGTGTTACCAACTGCTGTGCTCACTGTCCTGGAGGTGACTGATCATGAAGCAGATGAAACATCAGGACATGTTTTGAAAATGACTCTTTCTACCCCAGAAGGAGAACAAAGAAAGGCTACTGAGAAATCACCAGCAACCTTTGCTGAAGATGAAGTCTCTGTAGGGATGGAGATCTCAAAACACACAATGACAGAAGAAGGCCAGACAACCAATGTGACATCCACCGAGGAAGAGTCAGTGGCAACACTTCAGGAGAGAGAAGGAGAAACATCTGTTGACTTAGGAGAAACAAAGAAACCCCTTAAGTTTACAGATTTAACTGAGATAGAGAATACAGTTCCACAGAGAGAACGTGATATTTCCCTAGTTCCAGTCACTGTAGGTAGTGAGAACTCTGGAGAGATGCGAGTTACTGATCAAACTTCTTTTGACAATATCATTCATACTGAAGCAACAGTAACAAGTGCAAAAGCTAGTGAAGTTTTTCCAAAGGAGCTCTCCACAAAAGATCAAGGTAGGGAACTAGGTACTTCCACAGGGTCTACCTTACCTGTGACACCTGTCCAAATGCATGAACAACAGACAACAGCAGGATTTGAATCATCTCTAACAACCACTCAGGAAAAACATGATGAGACAGGTTCAGCTTATGATGAGATGTATCCAGCAACAGAATTATCAGTGCCTGCACTAATGCTTACAGAATATGGACAAGTTTCAGGGCCTGTTGTAACTAGCACCAGGTCTTTGCATCTCACAGTGACTCCCAAGGCTGAGACTGCTACTGAGCAAGAAGAGAAGATCACAGAAGCAATGCCTGTAACGTTTGGTACACAAGCAAAAGTGTATGAAAGCAAAGGAACGGCAACAAAGGAAGAAGACAGAAGTATAGGGAGCTGGAATTCTGTGTTGCCCCCCCATAAGATGCTGAGCAGTCCTACTGCAGGAAGCATTAGTCTTCTGACTTTGGGAGCTTCTCCAAGTCAAACTCCAGAAGGTTCAGGAATATCAGAAGAGCTGGAAGAAGTCAGAACAGTTCCATTTTCATCTAGGGCAACAGTTAAAACAACTGTTCTCAGTGATGTAACTACATCATCTGTTAGTGCTGTAGACAAAATTCAGCCTACATCAGCATCCAAACCTTTTGTTTCTTTGAAGACACCACGTATTATTCCTGAGGAAGATGAGGAGGTAACAAGCAGTGACATCATAGTAATTGATGAATCTATTTCTCCAAGTAAAGTGAGTGCTGAAGATGATCTGACAGGAAAGATGGTAGAACCAGAAATTGATAAGGAATATTTCACATCATCAACTTCTACTGCAGTTGCACGGCCTACTGCCCCACCCACAGTGATGGAGGTCACAGAGGCCTTACAACCACAAGAGGTGTCTCCTACTTCACACCCTGATAGTGGAACTGACATAAGATTGTATGTTATTCAAATCACAGGCAATGATACAGGTAAGATTTTGCCTTTTAGACCTGCAATCCATTGTGATGGACAATGTATCATAACAGGCTGGTGTGATACTTTTAGAATATACAGGAAGTGCTACTTGGATCACTGAAGCATGCAAAGCACAAGTTTTATCTAGACAACAATTTGCTAAGTATTGGTAGGTCTATTTTTCTATCAATTCAAAATGATTGGAAAAGTGTTATATATATGGTTTCAGGTGAGGTTAATTTCTATGTAAGAATAATATTGAATTGTTACACTTCCTATTAAGATTAATGGTGGTTATATTCCAGTTTTCTTATTTAATGTTGTCACGTCACTGATTTAACTTCAGCTATCTGTGAAACAAGCATTTTAATTTCACAGCTTCCATTCCATGCATTACTAGTCCTAAACAAAGCACTAGATTATTTTAACATTCCATTAGTCTGTAGCAATTAACAATGCCATGTACATGTAGTCAGCTAAAAAAGTCTAATGCATCCTGCTGTGTCCTAAGATGGATCTCCTGTGATTTTGAAAACGGTTTTTGAAGTTTTCTTCTTTTTTTTTTCTACCAGTTTTACAGAATCTGAGATGTAAATTAATGTAATTTTTTGCAGTTTCATTCTATTTTTTAGCTGATGACATTGTACATGTGTATGCAGCTTCAATTCCATGGGTATCCAGAACAGAAACTTCTGAAGTAACAGTGAACTCTTTAATTTTATTAAGAATATGTCTCCATAATTCAAAAGTTGAAGAAGCATGTAAAATGAACATTACTTAAGGAGCCTTGGTAAAACCTTATTCTTAAAAATTAAATGTTGAACAACTGATAAAAAGGAAAAAGCTCAAATATCTAGTTGGTTCGGTATTGCATTCTGTTTATTTTTTTTTTCTTTTCAGCAGAAACAGTAAAAATTCATTCTATGTCTTTTACAGCTTAACTGAATGTGATGCTTGATGCTTTTGAATGATTATGCAAGAAACTGTTTTATCATTGGTTCTTTGCCATAATCTCCTTATTTTCAATGATGTATCCAACAGAAATAATAATTTGTGGAAGTCTGGTAGGCTGGTTTTATTAGGTTTATGCTTGGTAGAATTATGTTTAAAAATCAAGAGGCAGAAGTGATCCCTTGGGATGTGCTGTATTGTTATTTGACTTTCCCAGTGGACTGGTATCTTTATTTACTTTGTGCTTATTACTGTACTTTATATTTACTAGACATAAAACTACACGTCATATCAGCAGTGACTTAACCTATTTCAGAAAATAATAGTTATTTTAAAATTTAAACACTACTTTTGTTTCTGTGATATATTATCATTATCTTAACTGCAGCCATAGTTCTTGCCAGTGTCTTGGAAATCTCAATTGAATGAGACAAGAGCGGTAAGTCAGAACGGAATTTCTCAAGACTAGAGTTAAGTTACATATTTTTATCCGTTAGGAAGTTTGGATAATTCTGTTTAATAACTAATAGGAGGACTGTGTAGTAGTGAAATAGTTTTCTCTGTTCCATTGTGGATTTATACAGTAGTTTGTTGCACAACTGAGTAGATGTCTTCAGGCAGCTATTTGTTCCACGTGGATGGCAAGTAGTAGGATGGTTTGGCAGTGTGTGAAATCTTGTTCTCTTCAGATAATGCCTATAGTGTATGATTCTGGATTTTTCTCTGTCTCCCTCAGATAGTCTTCTTTTGTGATTTCTTTGGAATGCTGTGGGTAGGAATTAGTCCAGTTCCTAATTTCTGGACTATCTAAAGAACAGCATATCAATGCACAGCCATGATTTCTCTAACTGGGGTGATGTAGTCCTCAGAACTGACTTTATTCAGGGTTTACCTTTTTGGTCTTCACAAACATTTTTCTAGTTACACATGTGCATATTTTTGATGGTTATATGCTGAATTAAAGTTTACAGCCTTAAAATTCTGCCCTTAGGAGTGATTTAGTCTACCAGCATAGGAAAAAAAAAAAATTCCTAAAATAGTATGGCAGTATCTTCATTTCGCTTAAATAATAATAGGATTTATCATGTATCCAGTGAAAGATCAAGAAGGAGCTTTATTTTTCTATTTTCAGTATGTGACAGTGATAATTCCTCCATTTAGATATTCAGAGAGAAAAGCCAGCCTATGCCTACTTGCAACAAGTTAAATCAGAGCTGCCAAAGATTTGTTTTGTCTGAGGGTATGGTTTAGGGCTTTCTTTTCTTTCTCCAGAAATGAAAGACTGTGTTTGAAACAGACTGCCAAGCCCAGTTTCACTTCATTGTTATGCAGTCCATAAACTTTTCTTTGTACTGAAGAAAATGTATATAGGAGGTGCTAAAGAGGAATGAATTTGGCAAGTATTACTAACATATGCCCTTCACTCAGACACAGTTCAACTTCTTATTCTTTCATTGTTTGTCTGAAAATTGATCTGCAGACATACTCAAACTACGTAAATTGTGCCTCTGATGTTTTGTTCTCAGCTAAATGATAGCAAGACATAGTTTTCACTATCTCTTGCTCGTAAAACAAGAGTTTTTCCTTCTTTGCTTTGGCATTCATTACAAGGCAATACAGTTTAGCATTCTTAAATAAAATAATCAGTAGAGAATATCAGAAAAGGCCCTTGTGATTTTCAAGTCATTATCGAGAAGTATACTTTAAGAAATAACAATTTCTTTTTACCAAACCCTTCAAACAACAGCTGTTGTGGAATAGTAATGGGAAATTTGCTATATATGGGGCATATATGAATATGTATTAATTAATGTAGTATTTTCCTTCTTGTATGTGCACAAGTGATGGAAATATTTATGGGATTAATTTTTTTAAAAGTCTTTCTTCACCTCGTTGCCATTCAGCTTTCTCCAGAAGCAGTGCTCGATGGAAATACACTATCACATTTGGTTCCCTAACCACATAACTACAGTATAATCACACTATTATACTAACAACTAAATAGAACTCTCTGCAGCTCTATTTACTATCTTAGTGTAGTCATAACAATATTTCTGTGGAGGTACTTTGTGAGCCATGGGAAATATTTCACACTCCACAAGGAGGACTCACGCCAAGGACTATAGGGAGGCCATCTCTCCTGTGCCCATGGAAATGAGGAGCATTTCCATGGCCACATTCTGGGATGAGGAGGAGAAAGAGGGAGGATTTCTTGTGCCTTTCTACTTGATCTCAAGGCCTTGCTAAATTGGTGTCAGTTTCATTGAGGTGCTTTGAAGTCATCGGCTGGAATGTGCTGTAGATGCATGGAATGTGTTATGGATGTATGGAATGTGGGGGGTATGGTTCTTGGTTATTACTGTAGACTCAAGCTGCACTTAAAAGACTTTTAATATTGATGATGTTAAAGTCAATTGAATCTATTGACAAGGATTTCAGGTTCTCTTATACCCTCCCAGAATAATTTGTAGTGGTACCGTATCTAAGTCAGATATTTCTGATTTTGAATAAAATAGGCCTTTGAATTTATTGAACCAGCCATCCAGGAACAGTTTCTCCTGTAGTAGGAAGTAGGCTTCTTTTTATCATGCCATCCCTGAGCTTAACAATTCTTCTCCTAGCTTTTAAAATGCATGCTTGCAATCCATTAAAAATTTCATAAAGGAAGTTTCAGTTACTTTTAGATAATTGAATTTAACTATGGAAGCAGAGTTAATTTAGGGCATGTTGGAAGGTCATCCTCATTAGCTTAAATTCTGATAAATACACTCAAATGCTGACAGGAAAGAATGCATCACTGGATGGATTGAACAACTTGTTTGTATCAGAATATGTCACCTTTCAGTGAGAAAATGTCATGTATAAGCAATATATGCATTTCCACACGCACACGTGTGAGGCAGCTGCACAGATTTAAGAGGAATATCAGGCATGGTGTTTCAGATAGGCCATGGTACATGTCCATATCCGGATCAGGTGTTCCAAATAGTGAGGATAATATATTTGTGTTCAGAGAAACATTCCTTTGTTTTTATTCTTATAAAGAGGATCATGCACATGTTTCATGTTGGAGAAAGCCTGGAATTTCATTCTCCTTTATGAATCAGCAGGCTGCTCCTGCCGCACAGTGGCTCTCACCCCGGTGTTGACCACATGAGCACTTCTTCATTACATGGGATAGGAAAGGGGATCATCTCTTTCAAGGCAGAAAGGGAAATCTTGTCCCTTTATTTCCTCACAGCTCTGCTATGTGTTGCAGAGGTGAGCACTGGTGCTGTTACTAGAAGGTAGTATATATCAGCAGCTGGGAATAAAAGAAAAAAAACTTGAAGGAACTTTTCAGCTCATAAAAATTTTATGAGCTGAAAAATGCTTGTGGGGGTGTTGTTTAACAGTGATACTGGAAACATAACTCCTGTCTGTATCAGGAGTAATTTGCACACCTGCATTTTTTGGAGACATTTAAAAGTCTTTGCTTAGTGAGTGTATTTCAAAGCGCTTATTGGACCCTGGGACTCACACCAGCTCTGTCTGGTTTCTTGTCCCCTCCAGCTTTGAGCAGAATGAAACTGCAGAAACTTGTGCTCTGTAGTTGAGGAATTTTATGGAAAGAGGGTTACAAACTTTTGTGTTTCAACATGTAATTCCCTGACGTGCATATTTCTTTCTTAGTAGTGTAAGAAGATTGTGAAATTTGAAAGAAAAGGAATATACTGTAGAATGCAAGATGTTAATGACTCATAGTCGTAAAGCTGAACAAAGGAGGCAGAATAGGGTCTTGCAGGTCCATCTTAAAATTCATTTAATCCTTTTGTCTTCCCTGCTCCCTCTGGAAGGCTGTCCCAGATCATCGTGACTTTCCTAAAGTCTGATTCTAATATCTAGCCTGGATTGTTTCTTGGCCAGTTCATACCCGTGTTTATTCTTGCCAGCATTGTCTTTAGCTTGAATAGGTCTTTTTTCTTCTTGACACTTATCCCTTGATACTTTTATTTCTCTGTTCAGTCATAGAGAATAACCATGTCCCCTTTCAGCCTTTGTTTTTCTCATTACTGAGGAGAGA